TTTCGTGGACTACAGCCCACTTCTTCGGATGCATATGAAGTGGGCTGTAGTCCACGAAAGCTTATGCTCTAATAAATTTGTTAGTCTCTAAGGTGCCACAAGTCCTCCTGTTCTTCTTTTTGCGGATACAGACTAACACGGCTGCTACTCTGAGACCTTTGTAAAGACTCTCGAGGCTATGCAGAGCCCAAAAGGGAGGACTCAGTATTGCTAATATCTGACCCTATTACAAAATGTAGGAAATGCTTGGGGAAGGGGTGGATAGCTACATGAAAGTAAGTGTCCTGGAGGTTGAGGGCAACAAACCAGTCTCCAGATCTAAGCATGGAATTATGGGGCTAGCGTCACCATCCTGATATGCTGTGAAAGGACACAGGTATTCAATTTTCTGAGACAGGGGATTAGTATCCACCCTCTTGGGGACTAGGAAATTGTTGGAATAGAACCATCTTCTGACAAACTTGGGGACGGGGGAACCGGCTCAATTGCCCCAAGAGTAGGAGAGATTGGATCTCCTGCTTAATGATCTCCTCGTGAGAGAAATCCTTGAGAGAGAAGGGGAAGGAGGGGAAGTGGATGGAATATCCCATGTTGACCATCTCCAGTATCCACTTGTCTCAGGTGATATGCTTCTAGGTAGGTAGGAAGTGGGACAGTCTGTCTCCAAAAAGGGCGGCGGGGGGGAGGGGGAAGAGGGGATAGTACAATTGTACAGTAGAGAGTCTGAGGAAATATGTTGCTGTATGTCCTCAATCAACTGTCAAAACTCTCTCTTAGAAGGAGATGCAGATTAGGTGGCTGCAGAGGGGGTAGTCCCCTTTTGCGAGGTTTAGATCTCCTCCTCAAAGGCTCCAAAGGTCTAGGAAAAGCCTGTGTGGTGGTACTGGCACAGTGAGATCTGCTAAAATGTCTTTTTGTTACAGATACACAAATTCCCAGAGACTGTGACATTGCCGTTGAATCTTTAAGAGTATGGAGCAAAAAGTCTGTGCCATACTGAAGAGCTTAGGCCCTTCAAACTGGTCTTCAACAGTACTCTGCTCCTCTCTCAGGAGTCCAGAAGACTGGAGCTAAGATAGGGTTGCCAGGTGTCTGGTTTTTTTTTTTTAACCAGAATGCCCAGTCGAAAAGGGACGCTGGTGGCGCAGGTCGGCACTGCCGACTGGGCTGTTAAAAGTCCATTCAGCGACACAGCAGGGGTCAGGAGCTAAGGCAGGTTCCCTGCCTGCCCTAGCTCCACGTGGCTCCCAGAAGCAGCCGCCAAGTCCCTGCAGCTCCTAGATGCATGGGTGGTCAGGGAGGCCAGGAATTGCAACCAATGGGAGCTGCGGGGTGGAGCCTGTGGGCGCAAGGGCAGCGCACAGAGCCTCCCTGGCCACCCATGCATCTAGGGGCTGCAAGGATCTGGCGGCCGCTTCCTGGGAGCCGCGGTAAGTGCCACTGGTATCCCGCACCCCAACCCCCTGCCCCAGCCTGGAGTCCCCTCCCGCACCCAAACTCCCTCCCAGAGCCCACCCCCCACCCCGCAACATCCCAAACCCTTGTCCCAGTTTGGAGCCCCCTCCTGCACCCAAACCCCTCATCCCCAGCCACACCCTAAAGCATGCACCCCCAACTGGAGCCCACACCCCCTCCCACACTCCAAACCCCTTGGCCCCAGCCTGGAACCCCCTCCCGCACCTGAGCTCCTTATTTCTGGCCCCACCCGGATCTCGCAAGGCCAGCACAAAACCCATACCCCCTTGCACCCCAGACCCCTGCCCCAGCCCGGAGCCCTCTCCAACACTCCAAACCCCTCATCCCCAGACCCACCACAGTGCCTGCACCTCCAGCTGGAGCCCTCAGCCCTTCTGCACCCCAACCCTCTGCCCAGCCCGGTGAAAGTGAGTGAGGGTGTGGGAGAACCAGTGATGGAGGGAGGGGGATGGAACGAGCAGGGCCTTGGAGAAGGGGCAGTACAGGACCTCAGGAAGTGGTGGGGATGTTTGGTTTTGTGGGATTAGAAAGTTGGCAACTCTAAGCTAAGATGCTTTCTGTCTAACCACAGCAGTAGCTAAGAATTTAGAAGACATTTCAGTGGCATTGAAAGCAACCTGCAGGGAGAATTTCACAATCAACTGATCCTCAGAGATGAGGGACTGAAATTAGTCCTTTTGGTCTTGTGCTAGTCATTACATTAAATGTATGAATTTAGAATAAATGTTAAAATCA